TGGATGATTTTAGCAATGCTAACAAGTTATTTTCGTTGCATATTTTATTTAAACATGTAATTTATAACCATTCCAGTACTTTAAAAAAATTCGAGATGATCATACTGACCTATTTTTACGGGAGATTGGCATATCACTTTGATTTCAATAGCATTATGTTAAAAAGAGGATTTTTTGAAGCATTCCAGATTTTTCCAGATTTTATATTTTACCCGATACAGATTTTACTGAAAATGACCTGGCAACGCTGATCCTTGTAAATGCTGTTGATCCCATCTAGTGTTTGTGGAAGAGCTTTCCGTTTAACTACGCTGAAGACATCGTCGACAAAGCTCCACCTACGGTTTGATAATAACCCTTTCTTCTTCAGGATTGTCTCCAAATTGGCCATGAGAATTTCACACAGGATGAGGGATAGAAGGTTTCCCATTGGGGCTCCTTTCGACTGCTTGTATAAGTTACCTCAGAAAGAGAAGTAGTTCTCTTTCATACAAAGGCGGATCAGCTTAAGGTATGCCTGAAACTTGTTGCTGCATCCTCTCGTTGTGTTAATAGCCAGTTCTCTAAATGGTTGATCGCTTCCTTGACTGGTACGCTGGGAAAAAGAGCTGTGATGTCGAAAGATACCATAATCTTGTCCTAGTTGATGACTCCTGAAGATTGTAATTGCAGGGCGATCTCCTTGGTGCTACTAACTACCTTACTCTGGAACTGATTCGGCATACTCTGGAACTCTGTGACTAGTCACTGTGCCAGTTTGTGGGTAGGGAGACCAACTGCAGACACGGTATTTTCATTTCCCGGTTTGTGGATTTTGGGGAGTCCTTTGATCCTTAGTAGAATAGGATTGGATTCCCGTAAACGACCTGCTCCATATCCTTATATTGATTTACACTCCTTCAGTGTTTCCTTCACGTGTTTCACCATGCTCTGTAGGGGGTCCACTCGAAGCTGCATGTATGGTCCGTTGTTAATATTTTTGTCATCTGATTGTCGTAATCTTCCTTGTCCATGATAACGACCGCGTTGCCCTTATCTGCTTTCACAAAATGTATGGCTATAGCTTCAGCTCCGTTACAATACGAATTTCCTTTTCGAAGCTGCGTCTTTGTTCCTGTTAATTCTTGATTAGGGTAATTGATTCTGGTTGGACCTATCCAAAAACTGATGATGGTTGGACCTATTTTTTCAATCGCTAGTTTAGTCAATCTTCGCTAATGTTTTATTTTCAAAGATCACTTTACTGTCATAAAAAACTCTTTTTCTTCAATTTGCATGGGTGCTTTATTGAAAAAACTTCAAAACAATTGAGTTTCAATGTCTTTTCAAAACAGTTCACTTTCCACGCATTAGCTCGTCATTATGCCTTACTTTCAAACATACAAAAAAGGAATACTTTTTACATTTCTTTTATTTTCATGCAGTATAATACTGCTTTAAGGTGTAAAGAACACGTTAGTACGCCATTTATCCATTGGTTTCACTAAAATGTTTGAATAATTGACGAAATTCGAATAGATAAATATGATCATGGTTGGACCTACGCATGATGATGGTTGGACCTATGTGTTTCCTAAGACGGCCGCTAGGTGCGCTTCGGTTTGTATACATCCTTCATGTGCAGCTGATTTGAAATTCGGTTTCGTTTTGGCCGAGTGATCAGTTTCTTCGATTGAAAAAATGGCTAAAGAAAAGAGTTATACGATCGAAAATCGGCAAGAGGCTGTTCTTTTAGTAAGAAATAAATTACTTACCGCGTGTCAGGCACAGAAAAGGTACAATATTCCGAAAACGACACTTCACGCAAAAATTAAGGGAAGCCACGGCAAGAAATATAGAAGGGAAATAGTGTTGAGTGTTGATTTGGAGAACCAGCTAGGGGATTGGGTTTGTATGTGCGTTGCTTCTGGCAGTCCCAAGACGACCAAAAAGATCTTGGAAGCTGTTAAAGACCTTGCGTCACTAGTTGGGCGTAAGAGGAGGAATTCCATCGTCAGGTTGGCTTAAACGGTAATCGCCGGTTTCCGAACTACCACGAAAGCGCCGAAAGAATCTGTTAATATGAATTTACATTAAGCACTTTTCATACACCTTCTGTGTGTGAATTAACTTGAAATAAAATGCTAACTGAAAATTGCTAACTGACAAACTAAAAATTGCTAACTGAAACTTATTTCCGAAAAAAAAACTCCTGAGAAAAAAAAACTTTAACACCGGAATTAAGTTCTGATATCCTGTCATTTTAAGCCCCTTAATTCCCCGGGGGCACCAAGAACATGCCCGGAAGTGGCCAATGTGGTGCAAGGCACTCAATTTTGTTATTGATCTTGTTATCGAATTTGGAAGTAATGTGAAGTGTCGCATGATAGGTTTTATTCCTTCCATGTCAAAATTAGGTCCATGTTCCATATACCCTGGAACTTGTTCCGGCCATATCTCCGGAACCAGTAGACCGATTCCAAAAATATTCGATAGCTTTCAATGGGACCACAATACCTTTAGTTTGACGTTAAAAGTTTTCCAAATCGGGTCAATGATTTCCGAGAAAATGAGCCATGATGAATAGCTAATGCGTGGAAAGTGAACTTTTTTAAAAACGAAGTTAAACTCAAATTTCTTGATTTTTTTAAATAGCAAATTCGTTAAAACTGTATAAAAAGGGTTTTTTCATGATACGAATAAGCTCTAAACACAGTTTTTGAACAAATATGGGCTAAACTAGCATTTGCAAAAATTAGGTCCAACCATCATCATTTTTTAGGTTCAACCAAGATCAGTATAGGTCCAACCAACATCATAATTCTTTGCTGAATATAAACGTTTTATAAAATCATTTTTTCATAATATTTAACTTTTTATGTTATTATTAGAAACAAGAAAGGTAGATCTTTCCCCTAATCACGCATTTTTCATAATTATATGTTGAATTCATTAAAAAATACGACATGAATGTTGACGTCGTGTGAAACCAGCCTAAATAGGTCCAACCATCATCCGTTACCCTATGTTCAATGATGATCTACTCCACTTCTGGGTTGGTTGTAACCGCGTATCGTAACCTCTTGTTGAGGTGTGTTAATTGTTCTTCCGTGAATGTGGTCGTCGATCGGTTGACAACCAAACCAGAAATGGAGTCGTGAAGGTGGTGGTGATGGTGTCGTGTCCGTTGAGACTCGTGTCAAAGTCTAATTTCTTCCACGCGGTTCGACTAGAAAAGAGTTTTTGGATCATTTATGCAACATTGAGATAAACATAAAACTTGACCTCGGGAGGTGACAAAATGATACAGATTTGCACGGTGAGTAAAAAGTATTTCAATGCTTTTGTGGGTGACGGATTTTTGCTATTTTCAACTCCGTGCTATTCAAATAGGAGCCGAGCACCCGGGAGCCCCATCACCCCTGCTTTTCCACAGCTTCTTTCCAAATCTTGGTCCTGCAAATTCGAATCTGTATGGTCTAAATTAGTGCAATTTTCTCCAGATTGAATAACCATCTAATGCTACAAGTCTGATAGAAAACAACCATCCAATGGTAAACAACAAGAAAAATGTACACTGACCGCAACAATTACCATCTCTCTAACCGCACACTTCAATTTCAGGCCTGAAATACGATCACCACTGCTGACGGAAACACTAGAGATACAATGTTGGAAAAGTTTCCATGAAACAAGCAGCAAATATAATTGGCTCGATCTATTATGAGAGCTAACTTATACGAGGCTGCCAGGCTGGCAAATGTTAATCAACCGTTCCAACCGAACCATCCTACGGTCTACAAATTGAAACAATGACTCAGTTCAGTACAGCCTCCCGTTAAAATAAATTTAATTTCGTATAGATAACTGTGCCATACACAAGTGAGTCCTTTTGCTGCAGTGATGACAAAGGCAAAATCGGGTGCAAGTGCTCTGCTGTGCTTCGATTCTGGCCTGTCTGCAGCAACAATCGAGACTTTTGAGACAGATGAGAGTCGCCTTTTGGTTTTTCAACAAGCAGACTTGTTGCTCCGTCCGCAGATGGCAGATGGCAGATGGCAGATGGCAATGTTCATCCTTGGTTCGTTCGTTGAGTGAATGTGGGTTTTGTATGATAGTAAAACATAGGGAACCAATCTCGACTACCACAACGAGGTCCTAGGTACTTTTGGGTTTGTTTGATGAACGAGCTCGGCGTCGAAAGCTTTGGCTTAAATGAAGAAATGTTTGTGATTGTTTTAAACTTTCATCCATAATTCGTAGTTCCGTAGCGGTAACTTCAATTTTCAGTTCACCGGGTCTGAATGTATTTCCAACTTAGACAATAATGTCGACAAGCTGCAGAAAAGGGCTGCCTGGGAAAATTATTTCTATTCATACATGCTCACACAAATGGTGCTGACCCGGCTTTCTGTGTCTCTGGTGCGTATGCAACTAATTGGCATGCAGTGTACAATTTGTACCATAATGTATTGTTAGAATGGTGATTGTGTTTGTTCGTTGTGCATGGTGGTTTACTGACCGCATCTCGGAACAAAGATGAAGACCACTCAGGACATGCCACGCTATGATTGCTAGACGGGGGGTTCCGAATGGAAGCAATAGAATGCAGAATGTGAGCGAAGCCTTGCATTTCCATGAATATGATGTGTAATTCGCATATTTTCAGTGCTGTTGGTGGTTGCTCACTTTAATGCACATACCTGTTGAATTTGCATTGTCGAGCACATTGTGCGATTCTTGCTTCAATCCAGGAACTTTTCGGGTTAAAAATTCCCTAGAGTTCGAAGCATGGAGGTGTGAAAGTGCTCAAATATCCCAAGGTTGAATGCTAGTGAAATGATCGAGTTCAATGTTGAAGTATTTATTAATTGTTCGAAAATACTACCTAATCACTAATTCAGTATTTTTCCACCTTAAATCACACATTATCTAATCACTCTAAAGTAATAAATTAATATCAAAAACCGATTAAGTCAACATGGCACTGCATACTTTCTCATTATCACACAATATACACATTACGATTTCTCGCGCACTCCCGCCACTATCCGCTGGACTTCATCCAAAGATTTACCCTTCGTCTCCGGAATGTAAATGTAAATCAGCACGAACCCAATCGCCCCACTCAGAGCAAAAACGCCAAACGGAAGATACGGACCGACGTTATCCAAGGCCATCTGGAACAGTTTCACAATCACAAACACGACCAGTGCACTGGATATGGAAAATGTGGCATTAGCATGGGCCCTAATATTCTTGGGGAACAGTTCCGTTAGAACGGCAAACGACACGGTGGCCAAGCCCATGCCGAAGGATACTATATAGAATAGCAGCGCGATGAATGCAATCCAGCCGAGATTTCCTCGGTAGTCATCGTCAGCGATGGCAAAGTAAATGCTGCACACCAGCAGCCCCAGGGTGGTGCCGGCTGTTGATAGCAGCAGCAGAGGACGACGGCCCATACGATCAACGAGTATAGCTGGAACAAGCACGGCTTTCAGTTGAACGGCTCCCAACACGATCGACATCTCTTCCGGTTTCATGTTTGTAGGTATCTTTTCAAAAATAGTCTGTGCATATCCCAGAATTGCAAGGATTCCAGTGAACTGCATGCTGAATACGAGTATGAACACAATTCGCATATTGTTGCGATAAACTGGGTTCAACAGTTCCTTAAACGACCCCTTTTCTTGATTGGACCGTTCAACGGAAGCCTTCATTATGGCGAGCTCCTCGGAAACCTTCGTCGACCGGCGAAACCAGGCCAGACTCTTTTCCGCTTGCTCGTCTTTGTTCTTCCCTAGCAGGTAATATGGGGACTCTGGCATCCACACAAAACATAGCAAGAATATTGCGGGACCGAACATCAGAACCCAAGCCAAAGTCTTATACTCTAGGTACGGTCCAATGCAGTACACCACCAAGAATCCCTTCTTGGCCAATACGGTAATCATGGTCCCGGCCGATCCTCGAATCGCGTCCGAAGCTATCTCTCCCAGATAGATTGGCAATACCGAGTAGGCCGTTCCATATGCAACTCCAAACAGAAATCTAGCCGCGTACAAATACCCAACAGAATCCCCCACGCCGACCAACACCCAACCGGTCACCACGGGTATAGCCGTACTGAGCAGTGTCCACTTCCGTCCGATTCGATCGACGCCCGCACTGGTGATGAGTGGTCCAAATACTGCTCCGATGGCCTGGATGGCCACCACCCACGATCCTTCGTCAGCCGTGATTGGAATCGGGGAATCGTCCTCCATCAGCTTGGGAATGGCCGGTGAAGACCACGCATTAGTCAAGACCACCATTTGGATCGACAGGGTCGCTAGAATAGAGAACAGTTATGAAAACCAGAATTACTCTGTGTACTTGTGTGTCACCTACCAGCCAGCGTGGCCCAGTACTCATTGCGGTACTTTCGAAACAGTTGAAGAAACGCCATCACGTTCTGAACCAGAAGGCGTTCCGAATGGAAATGATGTCGAATGGAAACGATGCCAAGATAATCTAGAAACGGGCGCCAATTTCATGACGTGGAGAAGTGTGCGAGATTGATGCGATACGGGGATTAAATTGAGAGCACTTTTTCGCATTTACAATCATCGTTGTTTATGTTTACGCTTGCGATAGCTAGGCGCGAATAAGGCAGGTTATCGTGAAATTTAGTGGCTGTATTGGGCAATAATAGAATGGTGAAGCTTGTTTTCGAAGCGGTTATCTTTTGTTTGGGTCGGATGAGTGCACTGCACTATGGTTAAAACGCGGCCAAAATCTTAAAAAATTAAAGAGATTATTTCCTTGTGATTATATTTTTTCTGGGCTTTCTGAGCACTGTTGTGGTTTAAATCCAAAATTGGAAAAGAATCCATTGAATAACTGTAGCATTTTTAATGGGTGATGGACCTGGTTTTCAGAGATTAATTGGTGTATACATTAAATCATTTGTCTTCTTTATTGGTTTTATTGGATGAACTAACTGGATTGCAGTGCTGTACTTGAGGGTAGACGCGGGTTTTCGCAAATACTTAGCTCCCGCAAAAAAAAAAAGATTGATAGCGCAAATTTGGCCGTTGATACCAACTTGAATTGTTTCTTATCGTTGCACTATGGTGGAAAACGCAAAATGTCATGGCAAAACTCGATATCTTGAAAACTATGCACTCCAGGGATTTTATGAATTAGGAAGGGTTGGTCTACAAGATAAGATCTTCCTTTTGACTTAGATGGGGACTAGGGTGGTCTTCTTTTTTAGAATAAAAAATCGCTACTTTTTAATGTTTTAGGGAAATACTTCCCAAGTTACAATGCAGTAACCATTTAGCATACACTCTGATTTATGATGGTTTAATAACGACAATGAACAATCCAATTAGTTTAAATATAGCATTTCAAAGTGTAAAACATTCTTGCTTAGTAATTCAGCTTTTTGCTGTTTTAAAAACCTTTTATAGTCTGGCAAGAAAGTCAAAAACTGTCTTGTTTTAAAAAACAAATTTAAAACAGTTATCAATCCCTCCTTGAAACTGTTCTGTAATTCAAGCATAAACGTCATTAGCAATTGCTTATTAATGTCTTGATAAAATACTTTATAAACGTGTTCTATCATTATAAAAGCAGACATAAAACCATTAGGATTTGCATTAGAGCTTTAGACTTTTTAAAGTGCATCATTACCGCCCCAATTACTCTGTTAACAAATTGAGCTTAAAAGATGGTTCCTCATAGTTAATTAAAGTCAAATTTATGACAAGAAAATTTATGTAGGATGAAAAATTCAAGTCGATTTCAGCAAAATTTACTTCTTTAGAAGAACCAGCACACCATCAACGACTGACCATCTGGCGGAGAAGAGTAAAGTGAGCGTGGTCCTCGAATTCATAAAACATTGTCGAAAGTTTTAAAACATACCAGCCTTCTCCAGATCTATTCGCAAGATCAAGATCTGATAACCGACAGAAAACCACTGAAACTGTTAGTTAGCGGAGTTTAGGTTTCCGATCCATAGCAGCGATTTTATTCGGCGAAAGAATCAACTCTTCGAAAAATTCATTCAAGCGTACATTTCAACTTAATCGTACGTTGGAGAAGCCGACTGGGAGGGCTATCAGCTCTCTTACCGAACTCTCGCGCAGACTGAAGAACCTACGGACATCCCAAGTATCACGGGAGTCATCCACAAAGCAGCCAGCACCAACATCGCAAGAACAGGCAGTATTCCCGGGCGGAGGGCACTCCGATGGTGGAATGAAGACACGAAAAGTGCTGTAAAAGCCAGGCGGAAGGCACTCCGTAAACTCAAGCGAACCTCTACGAACGACCCTGCGAGAGAAGAAATCCTCGCAAACTACCGCCAGCAGCACAACAAATGCCGTCAGGAAATCCGGACGGCGAAACAAAATAGCTGGTCGGATTTCCTGGAAAGCATCAACGCCGAACAATCGTCAGCAGAACTGTGGAGCCGCATCAATGCCCTCAGCGGCAAGCGGCGATCATCGCCGCTACAAGTGCAAGCCGACACCGTTACCATCACCGAACCAAACGCCGTAGCAGATGAACTGGGAAAATACTTCGCCAAACTATCAGGAATCGCGGAGTACAGCGAAAGTTTCCAACGACGAGTCGGTCCTTCGCTGTCCTCGGTGCCCACTTTCGGAATTCCCACAGACAACGACGACCTACCGATCAACCAACCATTCTCCTGGGAAGAATTCTCGTTCGCTCTTAGCCGGAGCAACGGAAACTCGGCCGGACCGGATGAAATCGGATACCCACTGCTGAAGCATCTACCGCTCGAAGGGAAAACACAATTGCTAGAACTCTACAACCAGCTATGGACCAACGAAGAATACCCGGACAAATGGAGGGAAAGTCTCGTGATCCCGATCCCCAAAACAAATATAGAGACCAAGGACGTCACAGGATTCCGCCCCATCGCGCTGACCTGCTGCATGGCCAAAGTCTTGGAGCGGATGGTCAACAGAAGGCTCAAGCAATACCTGGAGTCTAAGGGACTGCTTGACCATCGACAGCACGCCTTCAGGCAAGGGTACGGTACCTCCACTTACTTCGCCACTCTTGGAGAAGTCCTGAAGGAGGCACAGGACCAAGGCCATCATACGGAGATCGTCTCGCTGGACATCTCCAAAGCATTCAACAGAACGTGGACACCAGCAGTAATGAAGAAGTTAGCCGAATGGGGACTAAAAGGACGCATCCTACACTTCGTCCGAAACTTTCTGACCGACCGATCTTTTCGGGTGTCGGTCGGAAACGTCCAATCCAGAAGGTTCAGCGAAGAAACCGGAGTACCACAGGGTTCGGTGATCGCGGTCACCCTCTTCGTGGTGGCCATGAACGGGGTCTTCGACAAGCTACCCAAGAACATATATATTTTCGTCTACGCGGATGACGTCCTCATTGTAACGGTGGGCCCCACCCTGCAGAGGACAAAATTAAGGGCGCAAGCGGCAGTCTCCTCGGTGGTCAGATGGGCTGACTCCGTTGGGTTCCAGCTTTCCGCCGGCAAGAGCGTGCGCTGCCATATATGCACCACCCGGCATCGGAACAACGGACAGCCCATCATGATCAAACAGCAAGCGATACCGACCAAAAACACAATAAGGGTCCTGGGAGTGCTCCTCGATCGGAACCTATCCCTCGAGCCGCACTTCCAACAGGTGAAGAAGGACTGTCGTAGTCGATCCAACCTGATGAAGACCATCTCCCGCCCCCACCGATCCAACAACCGTGAAATCCGCTTCCGAGTAGCCCGAGCCATCATCGACAGTCGCCTATTGTACGGCGTAGAACTAACGTGCCTTGCCGCCGAGAAAGCCGTCCAAATCTTGGAACCGGTCTACAACGGATACGTAAGAACAGTCTACGGTCTCCTGCCCTCCACCCCGGCCGACGCCGCGTGCGTTGAAGCCGGTATTCTGCCTTTTCGGCTCGTCTACACCCCAGCTACCGCTACCAAAGCCGCTGCCTTCCTCGCTAAAACGTCGGAAAACAGCAGGATTTTTCTCCTCGACGAGGCGAACCGACTCCTCCGCACGGTCGCCGACGTAGATCTCCTCCAGTGGCCAGGGTCCACTGGCACGGAGACAAAAGTTGGCAATCACATCAGATCAGAATCGACAGCCGAATCAAGGACCGCTTCAGGGCAGGAGACAACTCACTGGCTTTGCACCGGACAGTCGTCGAAACTCTCGGGGCGCACTATCAAGATCACGAAATCAGGTACACCGATGGCTCGCTCTCCAGCAGCGGAGTGGGAATGGGGGTTTCAGGAGATAGTTTGGTCGTCAGCAATTCACTTCCGGCCCAGTGCTCAGTGTTTTCCGCTGAGGCAGCGGCCGTCTTTCACGCAACCACCCTTCCGGCCAATCGGCCGATCCTCATCGTTACCGACTCACAAAGCGCAATAATGGCCCTAACCGATGAAGCACCAAAGCATCCGTGGATACAAGGGACGGTAACGCATGCGCCGCCCAACACCGTATACATGTGGGTACCCGGGCACTGTGGCATCCAGGGGAACGTGATCGCCGACCACCTCGCCGGCTCAGGCCCCATCGGACCCAGGTTCTCTGACAATGTTCCGTTCCAGGACATCAAGAAATGGATCAAGCGGACGGTTCGGAGAGCGTGGGACAACGAGTGGAGGAACAATCGAACTCACCAACTACGAAAAATCAAGGCGACCACCGATCCCTGGAAGGATCGACCGAGCCTGCGCACCGGGCATAGCAGGGCCTCCCATAATTTCGGAGGAACACCGTTCCGGAGAACCTGCGAAACCTGCGGAGTGCCAGCCTCCGTAGAACACATCCTCATCAACTGTGTGGAGCTCGAGGACCTTCAGGTTGCCTTCGGTCTGGAGGGAACCAGCATACCGGCAGCAGACGCCCTCATCGCCTTCCTGAAGGAGGCGAATCTTTTTTACAACATTTGAGTGTTTTCTGTTTGTGCTTTTGAATTCGTTGGCCCTTTTGGTAGTGTTTTTACAATATTTTATATAATTAAGCTAAATGCCCACTTGCCAAGATTGGGATCCTCCTTTTGAGGTCCCAATTCTTTTTTGTAATTTTTAAAAGAGATGAACTAGCCTTAGGCTAAAAATCTCTCTAATAAAGGAAAAAAAGAAAAAAAAAAAAAAAGCGTACATCCCTGCATCGTTGAATGGTGCACTTCTGTAACCATCCGGAAGAAGGGGATCTTTTTCGGGAACGATCCAGCTGTTCGAAATGCGAAATGTTGTAAAACAGTAACGCAAACTATCTGAGTAACTGCTCTCAATCCATCGGAGAAAACCACCTGGAAGAATCCTGGATCTCACAGCGCAACTATCGAAAGATAAACAAACTTTGACGTTAAACTTTTTGCAGGGAACTTTGCCTCCATAAATGCTGCCATAAATCTGAACGGGTTAGGATCAAGCAAAATGGCTTTAGATAAATACAATTCAGCCTGTAAGTTTTCTTCATGGAAGCCTT